TTTCAGTGGCAGCTGTGAGGTGAATGAGCTCATCACATGGGGAGAGAATGAGAGGAGGCCAGACTCAGGGCCCTGAGGACTCCAGGCCTAAAACCAGCTTCCCAGTACCTCCCAGCTTCCTTGGTTGTAAAGCAGGCTGCAGGGTGGGGTGGTTTCCAAGTATGTGCTATCAGGTGGAGACCAGAAAAAAGAAGGAAATGACTGAAGTCGTTTGTTTGATAACATCTTCCTGCAAATAGCATGTTTAGTTAGACCCTGATCTAAGTGGTGAACAGACAGACAATTGCAAATCATTGTGAGTCTTCAAGGAGTTCCATCAGAGTTTTGGGCCGAAAAAACAGATGGATTAGAACCAGTACAAGAGCCAGTTAATAGACCCAGCAGCAGACACTGAGCAACATGATTAAAATATGAACGTGTTTGGGGAGAGAAAAGCAGAGAGTGAGGACCGGCTCAGCGGCTTCGTTTCAGACCTTCCTCCTTCCTGGCTGTACTTCAGCAAAACCTCGTTTTGCCCAAGCGCCAGAGACTCTGTTGTGTTCTTCCTTGAATGTTAGATTAGCTTGCCTGCCCTCCAGGGACTGCTGCCTGCGGTGGTCATAAGTGGCTGGTGGATTGTTTACTTGTATATCTGTTAGAGGCCACGGAGGGAGGGCCCCACCAGCGGGCGGTTCTGGCTCAAATACCTGCCAATCACAGCTTTACCTGGAGCAAACAGATGGTCTCTTCGCTTAGACCCATTTCCTCCGCAGTTCCCTGGGCCCCCTGCCAGCATGGGCCCTGCTCAGTAACTATGTCCTAATCCTCACAGCCGAATTAGGGACTTCTTAAAAGGACAGACCATAATAGATGAGCATGGCGATGTGTTCACAGCCCCCACTCTGAACACCCACTGCCCGACCTGCTGTGTTGGGCCGACTTCCATTCCCTGGCCTGCATCCAGAGTTCGGCAACAGAAGCAGGCCCTGGGAAACGGGGGAAGCCAGCAGAGAGGACACCGTGCATTTTGTTTATTAAAGTTAATTGGTGAATGCAGGCCCAGGGAAGCCTCTGATTCATTAGCATCCTGATGAATATGCAGCTGCTGAGTATTAAGAAAAATGAAATGGAAAAGAGTAAATCCCCAAAGGAGAGGTTGGAAAAAATCAAGAGGCTCTCTGCAGACATCTGATGCAGGCCTTTGTCCCACAATGAGATTTGAATGAGCCGAATTCAAATGATTTTTCACAATTTGCATAGCTGCCTGGAAGACCCATTTCCAGCCTCATCTCTGGAGCCTGAGAAAGGAGCAACTTTGAACCGTTAGCAGCTCAAGCAGGTTGTGAGCAATTACAGAAAAAGAAGCACATGGTTCCATCATTGATTTTAATTTCAGGATCCTTACACTGCCAGGTCAACAAGGCAACTGTGGGTACAGGAGGCTTATGAGTAGGAATGTTAAACTCGGCTCCTCTCAGGCAGTAGTTCATTCATTTAGGTATTCAGCAAACATTGGCGATGCCTTTGGTTTGAATAGAATGCCATCCTGTCCTGCCCAAGCCTGCACAGTGCCCTGGAGGGAACCAGGAGCGTCATGAACAGTAGGCAAAGGTGCCATGTGGGTGCACTAGTGGAAGCTCTGAAAGTTGCCTCACAAAATTGGCAGAAACGGAAAGTCAATTCAAGCAAAGGCTGATGGGTTTGGTGAAACTGGAAGGTTCCAAATTGCTGGGAGTGGAGGGTGGAAAGAGAGTAAGGCTAGAAAGAAAGGGTGGAGGCCCAGGGCTCTGGAAGGGCTTGGGTGCTGTGCTAGGGAATTTAGACTTGATCCTGTGGCTGGTGGGGGCTCTCAAAGGCTACGGAGCAGAAGTGGGATATTAGATTGCATTCTAAGGTCACTGGGGCCCAGGTGAGAAGTGATAGGCATGGGGTTGCAAACTATTAGATGAAGAGGAGATGATAGATTTGAGAGAGATTAAAGAGGTAGAAATGAGAGGGTTTCATGACAGGATTATAGTAGGACAGGGACAAGCCAAGCTCCAGGCTAACTGCTAAGTTTCTGGCTTGGGAACCAGGTAGCTTTTGGTGAGGGGGGAGGGAGGACGAAATTAGGTTTGTGGGGAAATGATCATGTTGGTGTGCAAATGTGGAGGAGTTTGAGATGCCTCTGGGGCAGCCAAGTAGAGAGAGCCTGGAGGTAGTTGGGTATGTTGTTGGGAGCTCAGCAGATGTATGGGCTGGGGACGATAAGTTAGGAAGACCTGGAAGTGTGGATGGTAATGAAAGCCCTCAATAGTCATTCATTTGACACACTTTTATTACTCCTACCATGAGGGGTAGGTATGGGGATATGAAGACAAATGAGGTGAGGCCTGGCCCAGCCCTCCCCGAGACTAGAGGGGAGGATGAGCTGCAGGAAGTGACACTATAGGGGCTGAGTGCACCTAACCCAGCCAGGGAATACTTTCTGGAAGAGGCAAGACTTAGGTAGGGAAAGGGACTGCCAGGACATTCCCGGTTGTAAGGGTGCCTTTGGGGAATGGCAGGCTGTGCATTGGACAGGTGGGGGTTTGGGGGGTTGGCAGGAGAGGCCAGCAGGTAGGATGCGTGGGAGGCCTGGCTGCAAAGCAAGGGTGTGAATGAAAGTGTAAAGGGAAGAGAGTGAGGCCAAGGACAGAGCCTGGGGACACGAAGTGTCAGGAGTGGCAGGGAAGATGGTCAACAGCACCATCTGCTGCCAAGAGTCAAGGGAAGTGTCTGCCAGGTGTCACTGGAGACCTTGCCAGTTGCTGCTTCATTTGAGAACTGATTGCAGTGGGCTGAGAAGCAAGTGGGAGGTGAGAAAGTGCGCTCAGAAAGTGTTGGCATCTCTTTCTAGAACCTTGGTGGTGATGGGGAGTAAAGAGGGAGGTGTCTGGCTGAGGGAGGCCTGGTGTTTGAGGGGAGAGGGTGTGTGTTGTGTGTTTTTTAATGCAAGAGACTCAATATGACATATGGGGATGGAGGGGGGAGGAGGACCAGCCAAAGGGAGGTCAAATATACAAGAAGGCGAAATACAGGGGATGGGATTGGGAACCCAGAACACCTTGTCTGCGTGCCAAACTGGGAGTTGGGAAGAGGAAGGGCAATTTGGATACATTTGTGGGGGGGCAGTAATGGGGTTTTTTGGCCTGCACTGTATCTGCTGGGGGGAGGGGAGGCAAGTATGGGGCCAGGGATGGGAGAATTATAATGGTTTGGGATAGCTGATGGGAGGAATGAGAGGGAGGTGACCAGAACACAGACAGGATGCCCAGTGGCCCCGAGGACTCCGTTGAGGCCGGAGAGCTGGACTCTGTAGTGACCTTGTTCATAGGGTCATGATTTCGTCCAGTGTCACTCAGATTCCTGAGTGTGAGAAAAGAGACAGTGCTTGGTTGTGGAGAGCCAGGGTGGGGTTTTGGTGGGTGGATATGACAGCATCAAAGCGAAAAGGGGCAGAGGTGAGGCCACTAGCCAGACTGAAGTGATGGAGCCCCGGGTTTAGAACGGGAGTTGGTGCTTGAGGTCTCAGGGAAGTCAAAAGTCAGGTGTTCCTGAACCCATGCCCCCAGCTCCATCACCATCATACAAAGTATGGCTGTCGTTTTAGAAACACTCTGGATTCACTGTGTTCTCCATGTGCATCCAGATATTACAAAAATCTGAATGTTAAAATATCAGTGTGTCCCACGTCAGGTCTGAAATGGTTTTTTTCTGCCTCACCTCCCCTTAGGAAAGAATAATTGTAGGCTCAGAGGTCCTAAATTGATTAGTAATCCTTGGTCTCACAGCAAAACTTTTTTTTTCAAGAATGCTCATGGAGTCTTTAGTTGGTCTGTTGTTTTCTAGCTGATATAAATATCTGCCTCGATTGGAGATACTTTCCCATGTTGGTATGATCATTGTGCTCTTCTCGGGTGAGGCAATCGGTCGCCGGTCGTTGGTCAGCTGCTCACAGCGGCTCCTGGTAGCTCACACCGGCTACCAGCCGCTCACGCTGGCTGCCAGCCACTCACGTAGTTCACAGCAGCCCACGGCAGCCCACTGCAGCAGGGGCTGCAGCCTACACCGTCATCGCAGGCAACTCACAGCAGCCCAGCTCCAGGTCGAGCTGTTGCTCACCATCTTAGCTGTAGAGGGCGCAGCGTCACTGGCCTTCAATGTGGGATCTGAACCGCAGCCCTGCTGCTCAGAGCTGGTGCTCCCAAGCGAGCTCTTAACCAGCTGAGCCACTCGGCCGGCCCGTTTTGTTTTTAAAGAGCAAACACTTAGAGGCCCTGTCAAGCAATCTATGCAAAATCGTAGATTTTTATGATCTTTGCCCCAATCTATGGTTGTCTCTCCCATACCTGATTTAATAGTTTTTCCTTTCATTAGACTTACTTTTATTCATTCAGTTTAGCTTTATTACATGGCTGTCACTTTCTTGCCATTTCACTGGCTAATGCGACATTTAATTGAATTATATCATTATAGTCCTGTGTAGTGTGGGACAAACATAACTCTTTTCTTTGTGCATTTAAAAAATCTTTTAACATAAATAACTCTTGACAGGCCACCTCATCTGGTGGGAGATGAGATGTACAGGTACACTAGCCCAGGTGGACTGCAGGCTTCAGGCATCACCCAGGTTTGGAAAGGGATGGGAAGGGATGCAGCAGGTCGGTGATAGGAAGATCCATGTAAGAAAGCATCTATGCTGTTTATAAATAGAATTATTGATGCTCATTTCAAAGCAAGTTGGTGTCATAAAATGACTGTGTGCTTTGGAGTGAGGCAGATCTTGTTCTGGAATCTTGGACAGATTTTGTGTGTGCCTCTGGGTCTGTTTTCTGTTATACAATGGGGATACCGTCTCTGCTTCTCAGGGTGGGTGTGTGAATGAAATAAGTGTTACTCACAGGAGACACACAATACTTGTTCTCCTCTCACCATCAAGCTAATTCAGATAGCTCCTCTGGGCAGAGTTTGGCGCTGACCTTGGTTTCCTGTACTTTCAGAAGTCAGGCTTCTAGCCCCTCTATCGCCACCTCCAGTGCCAACTGCCAGCTGATGATGCTGGAAGGGCAGTCAGGACCCTGCTTTTCCTCTCTGGACTCGAGCATTGAGATCCTGAAGAAGAGGGCCCAGGAGCTGATTGAAAACATCAACGAGAGCAGGCAGAAGGACCATGCACTCATGACCAACTTCAGGGACAGCCTCAAGATCAAGGTGACAGATTCACCACCCCACCCCTGTTGAAAGGGGGGCGAGTCCATAGGTAAAAGGTGAAAGGGGAGGGAATGAACCCCTGGTGAGCGTGTTGTGTTCCCAGCATGGTGCCAGACAATTTGCGTATAGTACCTCATTTCACCTTTCCAATAATCCTGTAAAAAGATTGGACCCGTTTTATAGATGGGAAAAGTGAGATTTAGAAGTAATTTGCCTGAGTGCGAGTCAGAATGAGGGACCAAGGTCCATCTGCATTGACTGCCTAGCTCCCTTATTTCACACCAGGGCTAATGGCTATGGGAGTAGGAGTTGAGGCATAGCCTGCATTAATGCAGCCATTTATCCTCCAGAAGTCGAATGGTTTGTGATGGGAAAGTAGGGATCCCTTGACATGGCCAGGGCTTATGTCTAACAAAGCCTGATGTTATGTTCAGATCCAATGTTAATGGTTGTTCTTGATGCTTCTTCACAATGTACAAGGGATCCCATGAATGGGACATCTGTTGATGACAGGCTGATTTTTTTCTGCCCCCCTTCCATTCCTACCAGTACATACCCTGGTACAGCATAGAAAATAAAGTAGAGAAAAGTATAACATAGCAGAAAAAACATGAAAACATTCCTATGATCCTACCACCCAGAGACCACTTTGTTGCATGTGTTGTCTGGTCTTTGTTAGGTACGTACTTCCTAACCTGGTGGAGCCCATACTGTATACATAATTTTGCAATCTTATCTTTTTTAAAAAAAAGCTCTTTTTAAGATAGGCAATTTCATCCCCAGTCACTGGAGTTGTTTACCATTTTTATGATAAACTGCAGAAATCTTAGCCACTTAGAATACATGTCTTGTGATGCCTTTGGTTCGATTATCCAAGAACATGTCATCGTTTAAAAGGTTTCGGACCTGACAGAGAAGCTAGAGGAGAGGATGTATCAGCTTTATAATCACCACAACAAGATCATTCAGGAAAAACTCCAAGAGTTCACCCAGAAAATGGCAAAGATCAGCCATTTGGAAACAGAGCTCAAACAAGTGTGCCACACTGTGGAGACCGTGTACAAAGACCTATGCATCCAGCCAGAGGTATGACTAAACCCATGTTAAGGGGCACTGCCTGAGGATAGTTATAGGGGCTAAGATGATAGTAAATGTCAACAGACACTAAGGACGTTAGCGCCCCTCAGAAGCCACTAACACAGGAAAGCCCTAGGTGCTCCTGCCGTCACACTTGTGGCCCCATGCTCCCCTGTGACGTGGTGTGTTGGAGCTGAGAAGCCGGCCCGTTGTTATTTTCCACTGCTGTGTGGCCAGCTCTGTGGTGACAGAAAGGACAAAGTCCCCTCCGCCCACAGCCCTGAGCCCTGGGTTTACTGATTATAGTAGAGTGAAGATGCATACACAGGCCAGGTCACTGAGGGTGGGAAGAAATCCCCACCGTATCTGAGCACCTCACAGCCCCCCCACATATTCGTTTTTCCTGTGACTGAAAGGACTTCTCAGGTAGTTCCAAGTAAATGTAACCCAACACTGTGGGTCAGATATGCAGACATTTATTATTCTCTCTTCCCCCCTTATTCTGCCCCAACTTCCAGCATAAGGCACTTATCCCCCAGATGGGAGGGTCAGAGGGCACACAGGGAACTCTTGGTGTGTGTGTGTAATGGGGGGTTGCTCAGTAAGACACCAGGTCAGTGGGTCTCACATAAGTTGCTTCTGTGTCACTCTTCTTCCCTCTCCCTGCTCCCCCGTCAAGAGAAGCTTCTGTTCCAAAGTAAGTGGAACCTGTTTCCATGCATGGTTAAAAGTGGATTGAGAAAGTCGGTACAGAGTCCCACTGTCTTTTTAAGGAGCACATTTGAGTGACTTCAAAAGGGAAATTTTGATATTGAAAAATCAGTCTCTCACTTCCCACCATAAAAATTGGCTCTGTCTGCTACCTCCTTAAGTAAGCTCAGATCACAGCAGCTCCCTGGAAGGGGGCTGGGACCATCCGGGCTCCCGGGTGAAGTGTGCTCATTTGCCAGCGGTAAATGCCTGGATCCCCGTGATTGCCCTTCCGAGGATCAGAGCGTGAATGTCGTGAGTGCCTGGAAAAGATAAATACAAAGTCGGTTTGGAGTGTTAACAGCTCACAACTTCCCTTTAAAGTCAATCTTCATGTCCCCTCCCCAGGCTACTACTTTGAAAGAAGAACAGACCCACAAAGATGGCGCGTGCTGACAGCTTCTGGGAGAGTCGCCTCGTAGTGACAGCCACCAAGAGATGGCTCAAAGGCCACCATTCTGGCCACACTTAGAAAATTGTTTTTCACAGTTCTGTAATGCATCTTGGCAAAAAAAAAAAAAAAGAAAAGCTCCTTGTGCCAGACCCAAAAGGCAGCAAGTCCAGCCACCACCATGGGCCCAGCTTTGGTGCCCCCCACATGTGGCAAATTCACCCCATCCCAGCCCTGCACAGTTCATTAAATGTTTGATTTTCAACCCAATCATGCTTCCTTCCCATGGAGGTAGAGAGCTCTGACGGACTCGAGAAACACATCAGGCCCTTTCTCACCCACAGGAGGGAAAGGAAAGCAAACTTCACATAATCACTTGTCCCAGCTGAGGCCACCCCTCTTCCTGAAGCCGCCACCCACATCCCACAGCGCAGAAGGCAGAGGTTACTCCCTTTTGTGGAGCAAAATAATTGTTTACTTTCTAAAGTGCATACCTGGCACTGTCCCTCCCCTTCTAAAACAATCTGAAGGTCCCCTCTGCATAGCCTTGGTGTCATTTCTACACCTGTGATCCCCCACCCCTCCCTCTTGCATTTTGTGGAATGTCCCATTCAGAATAGCATTCAGAAGCTATTTTACCGTCTGGGCCCAGGGAGCTCCTGCACCTCCCTCAAGGCCTAACTCTGTTCCATTTTCTTAAGGGACAAGTACCTGCCCCTCTTACATCGCCCTTGATTTCTGCCTGGCTCATACTGGATTGTACTTTGTCCTCCTTTTTTTTTTTAAGATTTTTATTTTTATTTATTTATTTTTTTTTAATTGGTGAATTGGGGGGATGGGAACAGTGCTGGGGAATTGGGGGAAGGGGAACAGACAAGTTGCTGTCATTTTGTTCTTCAGTCTAGTTGTGGAGGACGTTGCTTCACTGGCCCAAGTTGGCACCATCATTGCGCTCTTCCCGGGCGAGGCAGATCAGTCGCCGGCTTCTGGACGGCCGCTCACTGCGGCTGCTGGCCGCTCACGCTGGCTGCTGGCCGCTCACGCTGGCTGCTGGCCGCTCACGCTGGCTGCTGGCTACACACGGTAGCCCATGGCAACCCACTGCCACAGGGACTGCAGCCCACGCCGTCGCCGGCGACTCACAGCAGCCCAGCTCCAGGCTGAGCTGTTGTTCAGCATCTTAGCTGTAGAGGGCAGTGTCACTGGCCCTCATATGTGGGATCCGAACCGGGGCCCTCTGGCATCCCAAGCGAGTTCTTAACCATCGCGCCACTCGGCCGGCCCCTTTGTCCTCCTTTTTAATGATCTTTTTCCACATCTGTCTTCCCATGAGGCAAGGGGTTCTGGGCCCCATGCGAGTCACAACCAGTTGCCAGGTGCAAACACCAGTCTGCAAATGGTTTACCATTTTTCTTTCTTTTTCTCTTAACACGGAGTGGCGATGCCAGTGTGTACTCACTCCCTTGTATCACCAACTTAATGAGCATCGTGCCCCACTCTGGGGCTGACCAACGAGGCTGTCGGCAGGCTTGGGAACACCCCTCCCCTGAGCATCATGAAGGAAAGGCCAAAGAACACCTCACCTCCTTGGTCCCAGTATGAGCCATTCCAGATGAGGGATACAAGGTGGGACCTGTCCCAGGTCACACTGCCAGTAGTGACAGCTGGGAGTAGGACTCCAGTCTGCTATCCACTCCTCCTCCCTGTCCCTCTTCCCCAGACAGTGAGGCCAACTGACCATCCCCCATTCTCCAAAGGATTCAGCTCCCACCTTCATAGGTGTTCACGGCCTCCAGATTCATGGCATGCCTGATTATGTGATACTCGTCAGAAATCCCATTCCCTCCCAGCATGTCTCGGGCCTGGCGGGCGATGTCCAGGGCCTTCCCACAGTTATTCCTCTTTAGCAGGGAGACCATTTCCGGGGTGGCCCTGGGAACAGCACAGACATATAACAAGTGTCAATTACAAAGAACTAACCCCACTCTAGGCATCCAGGCACCCCAACACCCTGGGCAAACCAGCCAGGGGAGAACTCCCTGCATTAGTCATAGCAGCAGACACCGAGTTCCCAAAAGGGACAAGCAGGGCAGGCCTGGCCCAGCAAGACTAAGAGGGAGAAAAGGGGTGGGTCCCCAGGGACCACCAGCAGGAAGGACCTTTCTCCCCAGGGCCAGCCACCACCATGCCCAGGAGAAGCATGGGGTCCTTCTACCACAGCTACCCTCTTCCTCCCCCCACAAGCAGCCCCTACTTGTCTTGATCCTTCAAACGGCCGAGCTGCAGGCAGGCATGAAGGCCCAGCGTGATCTCAGTGAGCATGTCTGCCAGCTTCTTCTGAATCAGCTGGTTCCTGGCCAGTGGGACACCAAACTGGATCCTAGGTAGGCAAGGTGAAGGAGCATTCAAGAGGGGGTGCCTACGGGCCCAGAAAGCCTTCCCAGGCTGCCTCAAGCCCCACTGAGCTCACCCTGGCCCTGTCATTGACTGAGAAGGACTTCCCTGGCCATTTTACAGAGCAGGGAACTTAGGTCTGGTGGATGGGGGCTAGGGAGTCGCAGGTGAGGTAAAGGATGGAATGTGACCCCGCCCCCAGGAGCTCTCAAGGCAGCCCCCACTCACCTGTCCAGGGTGTACTGCCGGGCTGTGTGCAAACAGAACTCAGCGGCTCCAAGCACGCCCCAGGCGATGCCATACCGGGCATTATTTAGGCAGCCGAAGGGACCCTGTAGGATTGAGAGGGGGCCTCAGCCCCACCCGGAAGGAGCTGAGAGGGCCTGTGCAGAACCAACTCTGAAGTAGGGGGACACCCCCTCCTCAGACACTCAGACACTGAATCAGGGAGGCTGTTTAAATCACACATGGCTCTGCTACCAAAGCTCATGTATAACAGGCCTTGCTCAGTGCCTGTTTGCACACAGTTCCACTCATCCTAGGATCTGGATTGGCTGGTCAAATCTAGGAGCTGACATAAGGAGACAAGAAGATGTGCATGTGCCAAAGGATTAAGCTGGTTCAGGCCCATACATGTCCTGGGCACAGCCATTATGAACAAGTCACCAAAAAGGGGCAGTACACAGGGACAGTTGTCTGTCTGGTCTCCAGCCGGGTCCCCAGCACAGGGCCTGCCCAAGAAAGGTAAACCAGCATGTGATCTGACACCAGTTCCCAAGATGGCTTCTGCTCACCGCCAGCCCAGAAGCATTGGGCAGCATGTTCTCCTCTGGCACCTCCACACTGTCCATGACAATCATGCCCGTGGCTGAGGCGCGCAAGGAGAACTTGCCCTCGATCTTGGGGGCCGAGAGGCCCCGCATCCCCTTCTCCAGCAGGAAGCCCCGAATGCAGTTATCTTCACACCGTGCCCACACTACAAACAGGTCAGCCACAGGCGAGTTGGTGATCCTGGGGGTGGGACAGGCAGTGAGGGTCTGGCCGCCGTTCCTCAGCTCCTGCCTACCCACCTGAGCCTCCCAGGCCCCTCACCAGGTCTTGGCCCCATTGAGGGTGTAGGTCCTGCTGGATGGGTTATGGCAGGCTCTGGTCTCCATGCTGCCAGGGTCACTCCCGTGATTAGGCTCTGTGAGCCCAAAGCATCCCAGGAGCTCCCCTTTGGCTGTAGGCACAAGACATTGTTAAAAGGCTCCCTGTCCCCATTCATGCCCTCAATTGAAAAGTGTCAGCCTCTCCATCAAGCCAGACTAAGGCAGATCTGGCCCTGCCCTCACGGCACTTTCAGGTGGCGGTGGAAGGACAAGTTCCCCTCTCCGCCCCCTCCCCCCCCACCAGGTCACAGTCACAATGCCATGATGGGAGGGGCCCCACAGGAGTCAGGAAGAAGTCAGCTAAACTGTCTTGAAGGGGAGTGAAAAGGGTTAAGCAAGAAGAGGTGTGGGGAAGTGAAGTCCTGGCAGTGGGAAAAGGACATGCAAAGGCCCAGTGGTACATTTAGAGAATTCCAAGTAGCTGAGTCTGACTGGGGCAGAGCATCAAGAGAGTGGCCCCAGGTGAGATTGAAGGTCAGCAGAGGCCTGCTCACGTGGGGCCTTATGAACCCAGTCAGGAAGTTAAAATTTTAAACTTTGGTCTAGGATGGGGGGTGGGGTGGGGCGGACAAAAAGCAAATCAAAAGGGAGATAGAGAGATGATGGTGGTGAGAAAGGGCCAGAGAGAGTCAAGAGAGACCTAAGAGGGGATTGTCAGGATCAGATGTGGGAGTGAGGCTCAGGCTCTGGCAAGGGATCCAGGTGGCCATTGGTGCTATCCTTGAGGTGGGAACAGAAGGCAGGCTCAGGGGACAGCCCCAGCCGAGTTCCAGACCACTGCAATTGTCTTCTACCAGGCTCCACCAGCAGCAGGAAGCTTCTCACCCAGCAGGGGAAGGTACTTCTGCTGCTGCTCCTTGCTGCCATACACATAGATGGGGTGCATGACAAGGGAGGACTGGACACTCATCGCTGATCTGTAGCCGCTGTCTACCCGCTCCAGCTCCCGGGCCAGGAGCCCATAAGCCACAGATGAGACTCCAGCACAGCCATAACCTGGAAGGGGAGGTCGGGAGGAGAAATAGGGCAATGGGGAACAAAGCCTGCCCAGCTGTCACCAGTGACTCCTGAGATCCAAGAAACAAAGATAGAAAGATACTGGCTCCATCTTGAGGGTTTATTCATTTCATCCCCCCAGTCAGACAGAGGGATAACAGTCTTGCTTTACAGACTGGGAAACCCAAGCTCAGGGAAAGGAAGGGGCTTTCCAGCTCACAGCTGGGGCTGCAGAGTGTGGAGAGAAACTTGTCCCTACCTTTGATCGTGGGGCCCAGAACACCGAGCTCCCCCATCTCTGAGATGATCTCCCTATGAAAAACTGCAAAGGGACAGATGCCCAAGCTCAGGCCCAGTCCTGGCCCACTGGAGCCTCCACCTCAGCGACTGAGGAGGCAGAGGTGGTGTGTATGGGGGAGGTGCCCACCAGCCTGCCTGGGCACCTTCGTTGCGGTTGGCCAGCAGAATGCGGGGCATGAGGCGTTCCTGGCAGTAGGTGCGAAAAGTGTCCCTGATGAGGATCTCATCCGCTGTCAGCTGCTCCTCCAGGACCAGCGGGTCTCTCCAGTCAAACTCTGGACGCAAGGCTGGGAGAGGGAGCAGGGACTCGACTCAGCCCAGCCCAATCGACCACCGCACCCTCGCTCTCCCAGAATCCTCCACTCCAATCTGGTTCTAGGCGAACATGAACTGCAAACAGGACTGGCAAGGTGGCCCTTCCCCGGGAAA